ACCCTCTCCAATCCGGGATCCCTCAGGGGAGCCCTCTCCAATCCAGGAGTTTCTGTCTGTCTTTGCAATCATATGAGCGAATTGTCTGAGACCCCCAACCCAGTTTGGTTTGTTGCTCACAGAATAATAGAGGCTTTTTTTTTCTTTGCTTCATTGGTGGAGATTTCCTGGAAGTTTTAGGATATCTTCCCTTTAATTCTTCCTAGACACTCTGATTTTACTTATGTCTCTCACCTTTGCTTTCCCTCCATCCCCCACCACAACAGTAACTTGCTCCAGGCTCACTTTGCTCTAGTGCCGTGATGGCGAACCTCTGACACGCAAACTCATTTTTTTGGTTGATTTTTTTTGGTTAAATGGCATTTAAATATATAAAATAAATATCAAAAATATAAGTTTTTGTTTTACTATGGTTTCAAATATCAAAAAATTTCTATTTGTGACACAGCACCAGAGTTAAGTTAGGATTTTTCAAAATGCTGACACGCCGAGCTCAAAAGGTTCGCCATCACTGCTCTAGTGTCTAGGAGATCCATCTGCCACCAGAACTATGATTCCCAGCATTCCTGGTGCTCCCCGAGCTCTGGGCTTCTGCTTCCGGTCCTGGGGCTGCCACCAGAACTACTATTCCCAGCATTCCTGGTGCTCCCTGCGCTCTTGGTTTTCCCTTCCTGCTCTGTCTCTGTCCCATGGCCTCCCACTCTGCCAAGTCCTCCAAGCCGCCAGCTCTCCCTCTCTGCTCTCCGTCTGGCAGCTTAGGGAGCCAAGTTCCCCAAGTTGCTCCACTCTCTGCCAGCTCTCCTGCTCTGCTCTCCGCCCAGTGCCTGTGTATGCAAATTAACCCACCATCTTTGTTATGTTAATTTGCATACTCCTGATTGGCTGGTGAACATAGCAGAGGGACTGTCAATTTACATGTTCCTCTTTTATTATATAGGATAGGCATGTGCATTTTCCTTTATATTACAGATAAGTTTTCTCTGGGTAGTATTTCAGCCCTTCATATATGCTTAACATTTTATGTTAACATATTTTACTAGCAACTTTTAGACATCTTATAGAATGAACATATTTTCCCCTCAAAATGCAAATAAGTCCCTATTTTATAATTTTCAGATGCCCAGTAATCCATATTAATAAACAATATACAGTTGATTCTCATTGTTCATGGATCCCGTATTTGAGAATTTTCTCACTCACTAAAATGTATCCATACCCCCAAATCAACAGTCATGGCACTTTTGTGGCCATTTGCAGGCGTGTGCAGAGCAATGAAAAATTAGAGTTGCCCAACGTGCACATTCCCAGCTGAGGTGGAACAAGGCAGTGCTCTGCCTTCTTGCTTCAGCTTTCATCTTGTAAGCAAGTGTCCTTTTCCTGTCTACATGGTGTCATGCTTTTCACAGTTTGTGATATTTCTCTATGGCTTTGCTGTTTCAAATGGCCTCTAAGTGTAGTGTTGAAGTTCTGTCAAGCATTCCTAAGCTCAAGAAGCTGTGATGTGCCTTACCAAGAAAATATGTGTTAGATAAGCTTCATTCAGGCTGTTGGCCATGCACTAAGGAATCAAAAATATATACTATGGAAGGTGTCTTTAAATAGAAGCATAGAAGCACGCATAAAGCAAGGTGTTGTATGACTGATGAACATGTGGTGATCTGAGGCCTGGAGGAACTTACCCCTGCATGACCCCCAGGGACAATGGCTCACTTTTCACTAATTCGGTGCTCGTGGTAACTTTATAAAATATAGCTACCCGAATGAAGAGAATTCACTACTTAGCGTCCACCTGAGTCAGAGATGGAGTCATTATAACACTTACGGGGAGACAAGGGTGGGCTTTGCCTCCCACAGCAGAAACCTGAGGATTGTCCCCAACTGGACACGCTTCTCACACCTTTATATCCCTCTTCTAGTTTACCTTTAGTTATGTTGCTATCCAATATCCTGACTTTTGTATACATTTTTAATTCCGTAAACAGCTTTTTTCCAGTCCTTTGATAATAGTCAACATTATCAAAACATCCTTTTACGTGTGCTTGTAAAAGCTGACTGCATCAGGATGCTGTCTTCACAGTTCACATTAGTTTCGTTTCTTTAGAGGTCTCATCCCACCTTTCTCATCGACATTACTTGCAATTGCTACTTCTAGACTTTGCATGTTAGACTTTTCTTTCTTAAGCTCTATTCCCCTTTTCAGAGGTTTGCCCGTCAGCTGCATATGGATGTGGAAATTCACATCTATCGTGTGCTTTCCTGAAGTTTTGATTGTGAACAATATGTCTCCAGTTACTATTGGGAACTCCAAGATGACATGATGACTTTCTTCCAGGATTCCTATCACTTTTTTTCTTTTTTGGTCTCAGCTAAGTCTAGAGTGGCTTTCCTTGTTGCTTCTTTAACCCTCACTACTTCTGGGGAAATATATCAAGTCAATAATTTATTAAATATTGTGTGGGAATTACATATAAAAAACTATATTGAAATTATGATTATCTTTCTCAAAGTTAACTTTATGTGAGGGAAGGGTCAAGATAATAGATAATGCACCACTATGTTAAGAGTGGTTGTATTTGGTGAGAGAGCCAGAGGTGATTCATCTTCTTTGTTTTTCCAAAATTTAAAAGAACTAGCCTGGGTAACTTTTAAAATCAAAACTAAAATTTACAAAAGTCTGTGAGATTTTCTCTTTCAGTAGAATTAGATTTTCAGCAAATGTTTGGATGACTGGAATCTCCTAGCACAGTGTATCTTGTGAGAAACTGAGTTGGGAAAATATTGTCCAGACCCTCTGGCTGGCCCATGATCTGTTGCCTCTTTTCACGATGATATAATGTCTCTTTTTCTTTTGTTGTGTCCTTGTCCAAAAGCTCTCCACCATACTCTCAGAAGAAACCAAAACCACCATGCACCAAGATGTGTGTGCTACACACATGCATGCTCCTCCTCTACTCTTGCACAAACACTTTTTCACAAACATAAACACACACACACAGCTACTCATCAGAAGTTCCCTGTTATGCCTCAAGCAGGCAGCACTAAGCCCAACTACAAGTATTATCAAATCTAGACACATTTCTTCAGGCTTCCCCCAGCAACAATAGAGGCGAATATTTATAGACACTAGATATAGACTAAAGATATTTTTTAAATAGTGCTGCATTATAATTGTGTTACGTAGAGAAGTTCTTAAGCAGGGACAAAGCTATAACATATTAACAGGAGAACTGGATTGTGTCTACAGGGCACTGATTTCCTACATCAGTGACTTCATAGGATTGTCTTGTGTAAGTTCTAAATCTCAGAAGCCAGAGGATTTTTCATGTGAGACCCTTGCATAAGGACATGTGAACACCCGCTTTGCATTTATAAAGGTGAAGGCTGGTTTCTATGCAAAACGACCTTTGAATTTAAAGACAAAGCCCGATTTCTATGGTTATTTTCCTGGTAAATTTGCCGTAAGGAATCGTATGACTCTTACCTGGATTCAGACCTAAGAATTTTATGTTATTCCTTCTGGTGTATATCATCCTGACAGCCTTGTTATCTTCTAAGAATCCTTGTGGGCACTACAGGAATGGAGTGGATAGACCTTGTGAAATGGAGAGATTTTCCCATCAAAGCAAGGAAGTCAGTCACCTCAGAGGAGTGGTTCTCAACCTTGGCTGCACATTAGAATCACCTGGGAATCTTTTTAAAATCCTGATTTCTGGGCCTCATCCTCCGGAAATTCTGTTTCTTTGTTACTAATGTGGCCTCACCCCATAACAAAGAAACAGAATTTCCAGAGGATGAGGCCCAGAAATCAGGATTTTAAAAAGATTCCCAGGTGATTCTAATGTGCAGCCAAGGTTGAGAACCACTGCCTTAGAGTGTGGTGATGAATAACCTGGGCTTTGGAGTCAGACCTTGTTTCAAATCTCAGACCTGCACCATATTAGCAGTGTGACTTTGCACAAGTCATCTAACCTTTGTAAAGATCCATTGCCTTGCCTACCTAATTTTGAGAGTGAAACCAAGTAGTATACTAGTATATAAAGCATGAGCAGTGCCTGTCATACTCGGTAAATGGAACTACACAGTAATTATTATCACTAAGAGTATCAATGGTATTATTAAGTGCTGCCTGGAGGTGCCTTGTCATCCCAGTGCTCTCGACTCTAAATAGGACTTATTCTGCAGAGGCGTGGGGCGCTGTCTCAGGCCATGCCTCCCTGATGTTTTGCCTTCTTTTACCCAACTGACTCTGTTTTGTCCAGGCCAGTGAATGACACAAACAGAGTAGTCATTTAATAGGAATACTCTGAGGTTCAGCACAGCTTAGATGTATTTGGTTAGAAGCATCTCTGAAGCACATTGGTAATTTGTTATGTGTTTTCTGAAAGATAAATGCTAAAAAAAATGGCATTGCCAAAGTTACCATAGGCATTTTCAAAGAGTTTGGAAAAATCTTAGAAGTTATCTGTAATCCAGACACAGCATAAGCCTCTTTCTCTTTGACCAGTGGTCGGCAAACTGCGGCCCCTTGAGTGTGGCTCTTCCACAAAATACCACGTGTGGGCGCGCACGTACAGTGCGATTGAAACTTTGTGGCCACACTCAAGGGGCCAAAGAGCCCCACCCATGTGGCTCGCGAGCCGCAGTTTGCCGACCACTGTCTTTGACAGACAGCCCCTGGGACATAACAAGCCTCTTGCGGCAGCTCTAAAAGCAGTTCTCGTGGGTCAGTTCCATTTCTCATCAGAAGGAAAAACTCCTGCACCTGGGCAAGCCTCTCTTGACAACAGAAGCCAAAGGCAGTGTTTGGATCTACCATTCAATTAGAGCCTGTTGGAAGTTCCCAGAACAAAACCCTCATTTGTTCCAGGAACAGCATTGTTCAAATAGCGCCTGGCACGTAGTAGGGGCTCACGTTGTATTTGCTGAATGAGTGAATGATCGAATAAGTGGATGGATGGGGAGTTAACTTGGTGATGTCTCCTTTTGTATTTTGACTTCAGAAGCACCTGAAACTGTTCAGCCAGGTGCCACGGCCCAGCGTGCCAGCTCCCAGTCTCTGCCGTACATTCAGCAGCAGCTGCGGAGTGAAGACTGCTACCACGGCAAGCTGAGCAGGAAGGCAGCAGAGAACCTCTTGGTGAAGGATGGGGACTTTCTGGTTCGAGAGAGTGCCACCTCTCCTGGCCAGTATGTGCTGAGTGGACTCCAGGGAGGCCAGGCAAAGCATCTTCTTCTGGTGGATCCCGAGGGCAAGGTATTATTGCCTTCTCTCTGTGGTCCTTACAGGATGTTGTGATTGGTTACTCTGAATGACAGGTCCCAAACCTATTGACATTGTTGAAGAGTGTTCAAGGCTAAGGGTTTACTTTTACTTGAACCCTCCAGCTGGGGCAGCAAGTCCTAAATAGAGGTTAGTGGAGGGATGTGAGTAGAAGGCACCTTATAGGATCAAGTAGAGGACAACCTCTTTCTGCCTCTCTCAATTCAATTCAGTGAATTAAATGAATACTTCCATGGAAGTTCACGGTTGACTATTCACAGTTGACTATTGCTCAGTATCAAATACTTAGTTCTTGCTGTCAGGGTGCTTATGATTTCATAAAATAGATGCTTAAATAATTATAAGGATGAATGACATAAGAATGGTTCAGCTAAAGCATTAGGTGTTCCTCAGGATAGAGGAGTTCTCTGGATGAGGCACACGGAAAGGGTCCCTGCAGGGTCTGGCATATAAGATGAACCTTGAAAGAGGGCAAAATCTTTAAAGGGGAGGGCATTTAGAGTGTAGGAAAGGAACCACAGGAGCAGAGCAGCAGCGTGGTGTTAAGCCAATACAAGATGTATGGCTGGAGCAGAGGCTGCCTGTAGACAGAAATGATCCTGGATTAAAATGAAAAACTGTCAAAAGAGACAAAGAATGATATTATCTATATATATATAAAAGCCTAAGCGACCATTATGACTAGACAAATGGATGACCGGCCAGTAGCTATGACCTGCACGGACCACCAGGGGGCATAAGCTCAACACAGGAGCTGCCCCTGGTGGTCAGTGCGCTTCCACAGCCAACCTCCCACGGCCTGCCAACCTCCTGCGGTCCCTTCCCCCAGCCAGCAGGCCCTGATCAACCCAATTAGGACTAGGAGAGATGGCCCCTATTGGCCCCGATCGCCGGCCAGGCCGAGGGTATCCCCCCAACCCCCCACCCCTGTGCACAAATTTGTGCACCAGGCCTTTAGTATAATGATAAAAGAATCAATTCACTATAAAGATATAACAGTTACCAATATATATGCACACAAACATTGATACAACTGAAGGGAAAAATAGATGACAAGTGCTTACCAGTTTCCAAACCGGGAGAGACAGTTGTTTTAAAAAGGTATTTTTACTAAGGGATATAGAGTTAAAAAGTATCTTTTCTTTTTTTCATTAAGCAAAATGTCTCTTTCAGGGTTATGTATCCTCCCCCCACACCCCCCCAGTTGTTTACATCTGTCAGGAGAACAATTATCATTTAACATACTTTTGTTCCTCTTTTTCAAGGTGAGGACCAAGGATCATGTATTTGATAATGTCGGCCACCTTATCAGATACCACATGGATAATAGTTTGCCAATCATCTCTTCTGGAAGTGAAGTAAGCCTTAAACAACCAGTGAGAAGAGATAATATTCCAGGATTTTTGCATTTAAACAAATGATAATATGGAAATACCATCACACTGGTGATTCAAGAAACTCCATTTTGTGTTAGGACACAAGGATGATTCAAACTTGGTTTCTAGATAAAATAGAACACAAACTGTGAAGTGCATCTTTCGAGACCATCATGGACTAATGAAAACTGATCTTCAGAAAGTGGAAGTCAGAAGAGGGGAAGAGGATTGGTCCATTTGAAAAGTTATACATATGCACGGATGTCACTTTTTAAGGCCATATTGCATTGATAACAAGCTAAAAGCACAATTAAAATCTCACATGCTAAAGACAACTTGAATGAACTGCTGGGGCAGTGGTATGTGCCTTTCAACTTGATCATTAGGGGACATTTTCATATTGGGGAAATTAGTTCTAAGTGTCTTCATATTCTATAACTACAGAACCATTTGCCAAAAAAAAAAAAAAAATCTTTCCTCGTTACAAAAATAAGGAGCAATTTGCTTGATGGATATTGACTTGCATTTTTCTGTTTATTAGCACTTTCACTGCAATGTTAAAATAAATTTGACATTGAATCTGGACTGTGTCTATGGCAGTGGAATCAAATCAAAAGCCACTGAAAGCATTGGTCTGTTGCATTGACTTGCCCATTTGCTGGTTAAAGGGTTGGGGCCCAAATTGTGTGGCCTAGTATTTCTCGATTTTTGCTATTTGGACTGTTTGTATGCAGCATGTGACAAGCTGAAGAGGCCAAATCTAGTAGTCATTTCTGATTTCATCATATTTCTCCCTCCATCTCTCTGCCCACCAAAAAAAGCTCATGAGTACATGGATTTAAAAGACGGCAAACAAACCAGTGTTCTTCATAATTAATATCCAAATTGGTTCTATTACTATTTAAAATGCTGAATTTATTTGAAAGGATGGGGAGATCTCCTCCTGATTGGCTGTGACTACATGATGGTCCCTCACCTTTTCTACATAAGATCAGGCCTAATGCAGAAGGGAGAAAACATAGTGAATGAAACAGTGGGAAAGGTTTGCCGTGTAAAGACACAGTGGTAAAGTGATGGTATAATTAAGCGCTGTGTAGGGGAAAGCGCTGGGCTGGCTGTCTTCAGGGTGACCACGAGCAAGTTGCTGAACCTGTCTGGATTCCCATTGCCATGTCTCTCATGTGAGAGAACTGGGTTAGGGTCCATTTCAGCCCTCACATAAGTCTATAAAAAGCAAAATTTCCATTTAATGGCAATGTTGATCGCCAGTCTGTATAGTTAAGGTGAAAACTTCAGTATTCTCTTTTAGTCTGTCTGTCTCTATACTCAGAATGAATGGCACTACTGAGATCAGCATTCAGATAGTGGACACCCAAGCCTTTCAGTAAAAAACATTGAAACTGTGGCATACCACAAGTAAATATGGTAGAAGTGGATTTGGTTATTTTGAGTAGCAAGAAAACTGCTTCAGTCCTCCACTTGCCTTTGCATGGAGACATATGGCCATTACTATAAAGTGTTTTTTTCATCCTCAATTATCTGGATAATAGTCTTAACTCCACTTCATTTTGGCTACGTAGATACAACTTAATATTTGTAATTGTGATATATTTGCTAAGTTTTAAATAAAGTATGGGAAACTTCTTTTGGATAGAAATAATCAGAAATCAAGCATAATGAACTCTAATATTTTTATGAAAAGGTTTATCATTTTACTTTATTCTATTAATTTCTTAGACAGGTTCGTTTCCTTCTATACAACTAGGAAAGAATGTATTTTTCATCAATTTTGCATACATCTTAGTTCTTGAGTATCTGTCCTCATAAAGGAAGGGGGTCAGGAGGGTATAGAATAGATCATAGAGACTTATGGGTGATCTAATCACCTTTATCAGAGACAGAGAAGGGCTGTGGTGTCAGACTGCAGAGCAGTGTTCCCTGGGTAGCAAGAAAGAGTTCCTGGTCCAAAAAATGCAGAGTATAAAGGATGTGAGCAGTGCACATGGAAAATCAGTATTTGACTGTGATGGTATCTTAGTTGGATGAGCTAATACCATACTTATAAACACCACAGACTCTGTGAAAACAGAAAGAAACAACAAAGGGAATGTTTGATTGCATGCTCGTTTACTGACACACTCTCATCTTCATCTGTCTTAAAGTGGAAGTCCATTTGACTATAAATACCTGTAAGTGACTTTTCAGAAAAATAAATGATTATTACTTTGTGACTATCGACAGTATATGTCTGATGTTTGGGATTTGGAAAATGTGTCATTTGCGGGCTGTGTCAGAGTCCCGACAGGAAACAGATGGCTCACCTAAAGTGGGTAATTTGAGATGTTAATAAAGGGACTCTGTTTTACAAAGGTGGGGCAGAGTGTGGGAAACCACAGGGGAGGACACAGCCTTGGGGCCAGGGAAGGGGGAGGGAGGAGACAGTAGCAGAAGGTGAGAGAGCTGTGGGAAGGCTGCTTTTTAGGAGCTATGGCTACGATGGAGGGACTCAACCAGTCTTGGTGGCTCCAAAACCAGGGTCATTATTCCACAAATGGTGTTGGAGAAATCGGACCTCTGGAGGCAAAAGAGTGAACCTCACATTTTACATAAACTTTAACTCAATGCATTATGAGCATGAATGTAAAACTTTTTTTTAAATTAATTAAAGCTTTATTGTTCAGATTATTACATGTATTCCTCTTTTTCCCCCCCATAACTCCCCTCCTCCCAGTTCCCACCCCACCCGCCTCCCTCACTCCCCATCTACTGTCCTCATCCATAGGTGCACGATTTTTGTCCAGTCTCTTCCTGCATTTCCCTCACCCCTTTCCCCCCCCAAAATAGCCAGTCCACTCACTTTCTATGACCCTGATTCTATTATAATCACCAGTTCATTCTGTTCATCAAATTATTCACTTGATTTTCAGGTTCACTTGTTGATAGATGTGTATTTGTTGTTCATAATTTGTATCTTTACCTTCTTCTTCTTCCTCTTCTTAAAGGATACCTTTCAGCATTTCATATAATACTAGTTTGGTGGTGATGAAGTCCTTTAGCTTTTTCTTATCTGTGAAGCTCTTTATCTGAACTTCAATTCTGAATGATAGCTTTGCTGGATAAAGTAATCTTGGTTGTAGGTTCTTGGCATTCATCACTTTGAATATTCCTTGCCACTCCCTTCTGGCCTGCAAAGTTTCTGTTGAGAAATCAGCTGACAGTCGCATGGGTATTCCCTTGTAGGTAACTGACTGTCTTTCTCTTGCTGCTTTTAAGATTCTCTCTTTGTCTTTTGCTCTTGGCATTTTAATTATGATGTGTCTTGGTGTGGTCCTCTTTGGATTCCTTTTGTTTGGGGTTCTCTGTGCTTCCTGGACTTGTAAGTCTATTTCTTTCACCAGGTAGGGGAAGTTGTCTGTCATTATTTCTTCAAATAGGTTTTCAATATCTTGCTTTCTCTCATCTTCTGGCACCCCTATAATTCTGATGTTGGTACGCTTGAAGCTGTCCCAGAGGCTCCTTACACTGTCTTCGTATTTTTGGATTCTTTTTTCATTTTGCTTTTCTGGTTGGGTGTTTTTTGCTTCTTCGTATTTCAAATCGTTGACTTGATTCTTGCAATCCTCTAGTCTGCTGTTGGGAGTCTGTATAATACTCTTTATTTCAGTCAGTGTATGCTTAATTTCTAGTTGGTCCTTTATCGCAACCTCGAGGGTCTCATTAGATTTCCTGTAGATCTCATTAAGTTTATCGGCAGTTTCTAAAAAATTCTTTAAAAACCTTAAAAGTGTGGTTTTGAACTCTATATCCAGTAGTTTGCTTTCCTCCATTTCTGTCATTTGTGTCCTTTTTCTTTGTCTCTGCATTTTTTTATGCTTCCCTGTGTTGATAAAGTGGTTTTCTGTGCTAAGTGTCCTCTAGGGCCCAGTGGCTCAGCCTCCCCAATTACCTGAGGAGGACACTCTTGGTGCACCCCCTTGTGGCCTTGTGCACAGTCTTGTTGTGGTTAAGCCTTGATTGTTGTGGGTATCACTGAGAGGAATTGACCTCCAGGCCAATTGGCTGTGAGAATCAGCTGTATCTGCAGTGGGAGAAGTTCTGTGCTGGAGACACCCCTCTGGCAAGACTTGCTTCAGTGGGGCTTTGGTGCTCACTGAGTCTGCCCCCTGAGTGTGTCCTTTATGGTTCCACAGAGCTGCAAACTGGATGGTCCCACTCTAACCTCTGGGTTTCCTGGCTCCTGGATCTCTAGGGAGGTGCTAATCTAGCCTTTGCCTGAGGCTATCCAGCAAAAGCCTCCCTGCAGGGCTTGGGTGGGGCAGGTCTCACGGGATCAACAGGGCAGGGCTAGCAGTTATGGCGTCTCCACTTCTCAGTATCCTGGAAATCCCTGTCAGCCCCTTTGAGAGAAAGCTGCCCTGAGTTCCGACCGATGCCAGACAGTCCCGCTTCTCCTGTTTGAGTCTGGGTCCCCAGAGACTCGCCAGGAACTGAAGCTCAGAGCCTGAGACTCCCTCCCGATTGAAAAAGACAGATTGAAAAAGACAACCGCGCCCTCAGCCGCCAGCCTGCTCCGCATGCACCTCCGCACCTTAGTATTTTACTTCCGCACTGCCCCTCCTCTGAGTCTCGGTATGCTTTTCTCTTTCCCTCTATGTAGAATTTCCACTCAGCCAGCCTTCCTGTGGTTCTGGATGATGTCCGTTCCATCTTTTAGTTGTATTTTTGAAGTGGTTGTTTGAGGCAGCAAACTCCGGTGTTTACCTATGCCGCCATCTTGGGTTCTTGAATGTAAAACTTTTATGAAAGAAAAAATAAGGGCAAATCTTCAGGATATAAGGCTAGGCAAAGAGTTCTTGCACTTGACATGATCCATTAAAAAACACACTGGTAAAAAAAAAAATAAAGAGAAAGAAAAACCTAGTGTATTACACTTCATTGAAAATACAAATTTTTGGCCTGACTGCTGTGGCTCAGTGGTTGAGCAACTGTGAACCAGGAGGTCAGGGTTTGTTTTGATTCCTGGTCAGGGTACATGCCTGGGTTGTGGGCTTGATCCCCAGTGTGGGGCATGCAGGAGGCAGCTGATCAATGATTCCCTGTCATCATTGATGTTTCTATGTCTCCCTGTCCCTTCCTCTCTGAAATTAATAAAAATATTTTTTAAAAATTAGCCTGCTATATTTAAAAAATATAAATTTTTTCTCTGTGAAAGAATGTTAAGAAGATGAAAGATAAGCAATAGACTGGAATAAAATACTTGCCAACCACATATCTGAAAAAGGGCTAATATTTAGAATATATAAAAAATTCTTTAAAACTAAACAGTAAAAAATCTAATTAGAAAATGGGCAAAAAAACACAGGCATATCCCTGATGATATAGAGATGGCAAATAAGCACATGAAAATAGGTTCAACACCATTAGCTAGTAGGGTAATGCAAATTAAAATCACAAGGAGATATTACCACATACCTATCAGAATGGGTAAAACGAAAAATAGCAACACTAAATGCTGCCAGGATGAGAAGAAAGTGGATCACAAATACATTCCTGGTGAGAATGTAAAATAGTACAGCCACTCTGGAAAGCAATTTGGTAGTTTATTACAAAACTAAACATGCATCTAATATTCAACTGAGTAATGCATTCCTGGGCATTGACCACAGAGAAGTGGAAACCTGTGTTCACAGAAACACTTGTACAGGAATGTTCATGGTAGCTTTGTTTTTAACTACGTACAACTGGAAACAGCCCAGATGTTCCCAGGTGAATGGCTAAATAAATGGTACATCTATATCATGGAGTACTACTCAGCAAAAAAAAGGAATATGTGCAGACAAGATCAAAAGATGGCAAACAGATGTTGTAGGAGATACCGTCAGCTCCGCCCAGACCCCGTTGGATCCTTGCATCATATCTGTATGCTCACACTGCTGGCTTCTGTGTGTTTTGCTCTTAACTACCTGCACTGTGACTCTTCATTCTGAGGACTGCCTCAGGCTAGGGAGTTGCTTTGAGTCACCAATAGCCAGAAGCGCCTGTGTTTCCTTCTTCCCTGCCACCACCACTGCTGCAGAAGTGGGAAAGCTCGGCTCCCTCCCCGGCTCCCCCCTCCCAATTATCCTCCGGAGCTCCCAGTGAATCAGGCTGGGGCGGGCACTTCTCCCAAAGCACAGCCCTGTACCGCCTCTTCCCTTTCCCTGATCTTCCTCACTCCCTGACAGCTTTCTCTGGGAAGTCCTTCCTCAGTCAATCATCTGCGCTCAAATTTTCATCCCAATGTTCACTTCTAAGAACCTGATCTAAGACAAAGAACATCAAACCACTCTAAACATGCGTCTCATTCCTGGAGTATACCACCTGAGAATTCAAATCCATTAGCATTCTAAATAAATCCTGAGATATTCTTACGAACGTTAGGATTACATTATGTTGTATTTTTGTCAATATGCATTGAATGTGCCATCTAAGCATTTAAAATGTACCCCAATTTTAAATCTCATTTGGGTACCTCCTTCTTTCCTTTGTAATCTACTGAGTGTTTCAAGAAACATAAAGCGTCGTGGCCTTTGCGGCGGGGCGGGGGGGGGGGGGGGGGGGGGGAGGGAGGGGTGGGGGGGGTCTGAGTTCCAAGTTCAAATATAATTCAAATATATGTTTTTATTGATTTTTTTAAGAGATAGAGGAAGGGAGAGGGATAGAGAGACAGAAACATTGAGGAAAACTTCATCGATCGGCTGCCTCCTGCACGCTCCCTACTGGGGATGGAGCCTGTAACTTGTGCCTGTGCCCTGACCAGAAATCAAACCGTGACCTCTTGGTTCATGGGTTGACGCTCAACCACTGAGCCACACCAGCTGGGTGGTTCTCACACTCCTTTGAGAAAAGACCTACCGTGCTACATACATTTCACCCCCCAACCCATCCTTTTTTTTGTGTGTGCATGTAAGGAAAAGTAACTCAGTGACAATAAAGAACTGGAAAGAATGCTAGGAGTTGTTTATTTACTTTTAAGGGAAGATATAATCTCATCAATATGATTATATATTCCAAAATACAGCCTTATAAATTTTTTGAAAAACTTATTTTATCACAATTAACATCCTTCTCCCCAAAGTGGGAATTTCAATTCTCTTCAAGTGTATATGACAGGAACTTTGCAATGTTGTGCATAGAAATGATGAACAGCCATTCTTGGTAAACTTGAATAAGGTGCTAATTTTAATTTATGAATTCTAAACATTAGAAATCCCTAACATCTTACTTGGTAGATTTCTAATAGAGAAACCTTACTTATATGTAAAAATAAAAACCTATCAAATTGCAAGTTATTTTTTCATGGCAACTGAAGAAATGACATGCTTGTTGATATCATTTAATGGCCCATCAGGAAGATCCTTGAGATCCAACAGTGGGCAGGGAACAATGTTGGGAGAGTCACTGGTCTAGACTTTTCAAATATAATCTATCATCATGAATGCATCTTAGTCATAAATGCTTGCTTGCAAGAAATGGAAACCATCCTGTATTAATTTCTTAGAGCTGCTGCAACAAAGTAACACAAACCAGATGCCTTAAAACAAGAGAAATTTATTTTCTCACAGTTCTAGAGACCAGAAGTCTGAAATAAAGGTGTTGACCGTGATTTCAAGGGCCATGCTCCCCCTGAAAGCTCTACTGGGGAATCCTTCCTGGCCTCTCCTAGCTTCTGGTGGGCCCAGGCAGTAGAACTCCAATCTCTGCCTGCATCTCCACGTGGCTGTCTTCTCCCTGTGTGTCTCTCTGTATCTCTCCTCTTCTTTTAGGGACACTAGTATTAGTAATTAGATTTAGGATCCATCCTCATCCAGAATAACCTCTTAATTAATTACATTTGTAAAGACCCTATTTGCAAGGAAGGTCACATTCTAAGGTTCTGAGTGAACATGAAAGATTGAACTATTCAATCCCTACATGACCCAAGCCAGCTCAGGTCAAAAGATGTTTTAAGGCTCAGGTATCACAGGACCCAAGGGAAAGCTGAAGTGTCAGGCTTCACAAAGTGCAGGAACCAGATAGATCCATGGCTTTGAGTGACAGAAGTTCATGCTCTTTAGTCAGGTTCTACCATACACAAGCCACAGCTATGGTGGTCGCGTATTTCCCATAAAATACAGACGAGTGTAATAAAAGTCTGCTTCTTTTCTGTATGGTTCCCACCTGCCTCAGTTTCATGAAGTCTTATTTCAGTTATCTGGGAAGGGGATGTGATTGGCCCAGCTTGGGCTTGATGCTCACCTTTGATCCAATCAGGTCTCAGGGTGGTGGCGAGGTGTTGATGGTGGAGTCATGGTGGCTGTGGGCAGGAGCAGATTCTGTGAAAAGGAGCTTGGTCCGGATAGGCATTTTGATCCACGTGTCAGCCTTAAATGAGCCTCTGGAACGGTGCGTGGCACAAAGTAGATGCTCCCCAAATATGATTGACTGAATATTCTAAATTACAAATAATGGCCCGATCTTCCTTGGTTCTTCCAAGTCCTCCTTTTCCATCTCAGCACTTCACATTTTGGTCTTGTCCTCATAAAGCTACCTCTCTTGAACAAACTCCTCTTTTTCCCCATTCCATAAGCTCCTACTGCCCTCTGCACACAGTCACACGTGTTTCTCTCTACCATCCACTCTTAGGCCACTGTAGCATTTGGGTTATGGCAAGTATAACTTCATGATTTTTCTTTACTCTCTCAGATTCCAGTATGTACTCCAGTTCAACCAGCTATAACTACAGGAAACAATACAAATAATCTTGAGTAATAGTATTCCTATATTTTAAAAGCTTTTTCACACAATCTTATTTCATTCTTTGCACAATCCTGTGAAGTAGGTATCATTCCTATTTTCAGATGGGGATTTGGAGGTTCAGAGAGGTCAAAGAAAAATTGTGCAGACAGCCCTGGCTGGTTTGGCTCGGTGGATAGAGCGTCGGCCTGGGGACTGAGGGGTTCCAGGTTCGATTCCGGTCAAGGGCATGTATCTTGGTTGCGGGCACATCCCCAGTGGGGGGTGTGCAGGAGGCAGCTGATCGATGTTTCTCTCTCATTGATGTTTCTAACTCTCTATATCTCTTTCCCTTCCTCTCTGTAAAAAAATCAATAAAATATATCTTAAAAAAATTGTGCAGACAAAAGCTGGTAGGTAGAGCTGGAACTTGAACTCAGAGGATAGCACTCATTTCATGATTGCATTGCATTGATCTGATAGCTCTGAGAAGGTAGGAAAAAAGAGAAATGTTAGCATAACTCCACCTTTATAAATGTTTCTTAATGGGAAGAACCACATCTCATTAACAATGTGACATTTACACTTGAAATGTAGACAAGTCTGGTAGAGGTAGCCTCCTTCCAGCTCACAGGTGTGTCTGTTTAAAAAATGCAGGATAAGCTTTAACCCAACATTCCAAATAATCTCTTGTCCAGCAGTCAAGGTCTTTGGTAGTTTTTCTCTCCCCCATCATTTGTCTTTATTACCTCAGAATACCTCTGTCTGTGTATCTCTGGACATGTTCATTCTTACCTCTGGAGAATGCCTTTCCCATTCTTCCAGGCCCCAAGCTCTTCTATTGGTTACCTTCTGTCTGCCTACTTCTCCAGTCTCACCTCTGGATATAAGAATCCTTCATTTTTGCTTGTCTGGCCTTCACATTGCAATCATTCATGCTAGTCAACCTGCCTGTTGACTCTCTTCCTCTAGGAACCTTTCCTGATAGAGCCTTCATGAGATGTTCACTTTCCCCTAGAGAATTATTGCCTATTCTACTCACATTACCTGTAGTCAACTACGTTTCTTTTTTTTTTTAATATATTTTATTGATTTTTTACAGAGAGGAAGGGAGAGAGATAGAGAGTTAGAAACATTGATGAGAGAGAAACAACGATCAGCTGCCTCCTGCACATCTCCCACTGGGGATGTGCCCTCAACCCAGGTACATGCCCTTGACCGGAATCGAACCTGGGACCTTTCAGTCCGCAGGCCGACGCTCTATACACTGAGCCAAACCGGTTTCAGCTCAACTACGTTTCTGAGTTGTCTTTTTATGTAAGCATCTTGCACTCCAAAAAGAGTGTAGGTACCTTGAGAGTAAGGGTCCTGCCTCACACTTTGTAGTTCTTGAATAGAACACCCCAAGAGGCAAGTTCTGTAACAGTAGCAAAGGAAAACTAGCCAGATTATGAAAAGCCTTGAACAACCATTTTACTCCATATATGGGAAAGGGTTAAAAGGCTCTGTGAACCTGCTGCTACCAACTCCTTGATATTCTCTGGAACCCTTTCGTCCATGGAAGGAGCATAAAGTAAGGGGTTTTACTGCAAACTGGGCAGCGCTGTCTTAAGGGACAGGTTAACTTCTACTAGTAAGTGACAAGAACTTTCGCATCGGAGGAAATTCAAGTAGTGATTAAACACGTGGGAAAATGTGCCACCTAACTAGTAATTAAAGAAACACAAATTCAAACAAGGAGGGACTTAGTAATCAGGAAGACAAAGTAAAAAAAACCATTTAAGCTGTTTAGCAGGCACCTTGGAGAATCAGAAGGCCAAACTGCAAGGTAAGGGTTTGATAGGCAAGTGGGGGATTCTGTGTGCTGAGGATTAGGAATGGCAAGCGCAGGGGGCACAGTCACCACACCAGGGGACAGATGGGTCATGGGGTTCAGGGATGACCAAGTTCATCTTAGCCCAAGGGTGGAGTTACTAAGCGCTTGGGCGTCTCTAGGCAACCCATAAACCTTCCCTCTCCAGAGTCAACTCTTTTGTAATTGGCTCACGAATCCACCAATGGGCGCACAGGAGGCGCTTCCCGCCACCTCTGGCGCCCGCTTTAAACAGCCTTACTTTTGCAACTGCAGACGGACTTCTCAACCAACCTTGAGCAAGGCGGAGACTTTCGCCTCCACGCCCCGCCCACCCCGGCATGGCCCCGCCCACCAGGAGGGCCTCTAGTGGGCGATTGAAGGAGGCAGCTGCTCCTCAATAACGTCAGGACTTCGTGTTCGGTTGTGACTAGGAAGGAACTAGCAGATTGGAGCCTGGGTCTGGAGGCTTGCTAGAAGCTGGACTTCAGCTGGGGCTAGAGTTTCCCCGCGGTGACAGCATCTGCAGCCTCCGGTGAGTTCCGCTTCGCCTCCGGGCTTGGGGGTGCAGTCAGAGGAGGTGCGGGACCCTCCGGATTCTGGCTGAGGCTTCCGGGAGGGCTGACCCTAACCCTCCCCAAATCCCGCGGAGGTGCATGGCCCTGCGGGAGCTCAGCCTTTGACTTTGAAGTGTCATTCTGCTTAGCTGTGAACTCCGGGAGGTCCTCTTCTCTTCTAGGCTGCTGGGGTCACCCTGAGACCCTCCCTTGGGGACCCCCGCGTGGTCGCCCTGGCGCCCGCCTGGCTCACAGTGGGTGCTCTGTACACGTGTGTTGACCGAGTGCATGTGTCGCTGGCAGGCAAAGCCCGCCATCCCAGGCATCCTGGGCTCCGTGCAGCTTCGGTCTCGCGGAACCTGCTTGTGCCATAGCTAACGCCAGGCGGAGTTCCTGGGTAAGGCCTTTGATTAATTCATTCATTCAGCCCGTGGGTGCTTGCTTACTCCCTGCATCCTCTGGGATCCCGGACTTGATTTGTCTAAGGCTAAGCTGCTGTCATTAGCACTGATCACAGATTATCGTCATCCTTTGTTTATATGTTTATTTTCTTCCACCAAGTCCTGCTAAGCTTTGCAATCTCGAACAGTGCTTGGTAAATGGTTGAATGAATGCATAGACCTCCTAAGCCTGATATTGCAAGTCTAAAACAGGCTAGTGTGCTCCGGCTCTTTCCATTCTAGAAGAGAAACAGGCATGTCAGCAAATCAATAGGATTTACTAACTCTCAGAGCTCTTCTAAACCCCTTTTGTGGCACCTAACGTTTTCTATCTGATAGTCATGAACTTATAGTGTGGTTTAAGCTGCATTTCGTGGTATCCTTTCACCAGATGTGACAATATATATGCACTTCTAGATATGTGAATGTATTCAACTAATTGCCTTGGAATTTTCTTATGGCTGGAATTGAAGTCATAAGAAAAGCATAAGAAATATCGACCAAAAGTGGAAAAAGAGTGATTAATTCCATGGGGGAACCAGGTAGGGAGGGCATTTTGAAGGAGGTGGCATTTTTATCTCAGAAGGGGTTGTGTTATTTACTAGTAAAAGTTTCCCACAGGCTAAACGTTGACCTTTTCTCAAATATTCTGAATGCTCTCTGTTCCTTTAACCTCTTTTGTAGCTGGCCGACTCTTATTCAGCATTAATGTCATAATAATAATAACTAAAATGTATTGGTTGCTACACAGTGCTAAGCACTTGATATGCATTATCTGGTGAAGCCTTATAACCAATCTTGGAGGTGGGTACTACTTTTGTCCGCATTTTACTAATTAAGAAATGGAAACTCTTTGCTTAAAGTTGGACAGCTTGTAAGTAGAAGAGCCAGATTTGAGCCCGGGTTGTCTGAATGAGAGCCCTCATTCTTAACCACTTCCAGCCATATTGTGTCCTTGAACATCTATTTCTTATTAGAAGTCTTTCTGTAAAACTTCCCTCAGCCTTTTTTTTCTTCTCAAAGTTAATATTTGCTGTTACTTTTCTCTATTATAAATTTATGACAATGTATCATTGTAACTATTAATTAATATCATTGTTTCCCTAAGGAACTGTTAGCTTCTCACATCTGGTACTATGTCTTGGGTATATCTAGGATATAACCTGGCACCCAATAGGTGTTCAGTAAAGTTTTATCGAAATAATGAATCCATATAGGGTAACATGAATGCATTATATTCATTCAACCAGCATTCGTTGTGTGCCTACCATGTCCAGAGGGTAGGGTAGATAACATTTAATTTCTACCTTCAGAATGCTTGTAGATTCTTAAATGAGGCAAAAACAAAATGTTTTAGTTTAGCTTAACGTTTTGTCTAACTAAACACCCATTGGTCTTCCATCTCATTGTAAGGAGAGCAAAGACAACATAACCAGGGACAACAAAATGAGTACTGAGGGTACGAAAGGGCACACCGTAGTCTTGTTAATAGGTTCAGAAAAGCTATCTGTCTGGAAGAAAGTATTAACTAGCTTGCTATTAAAAAAGCATACTGGACACATTCTGCCTCTTGATTTTTAAATGATCAGGCAATAAATATAGAAATATTTAATTTTTATTAGTGGCATAGTATTGCCAAATTTATTCAAGAGTACATTTACTAGCCCTGGCTGGTATGGCTCAGTGGTAGAGTTTAGGCCCGAACACTGAAGGGTTTCAGGTTTGATTCCCAGTCAGGGGCATGTACCTGGGCTGCAGGTTCATTCCCTGCCCCCGGGAAGCAACCAATTGATGGATGTGTCTTTCTCACATAGATGTTTCTCTCTCTTTTAGTGGAAAAAATGTCCTTAGGTGAGGGTTAACAAACAAAAAAAAAGGATTGTCATGTCAGTTGCCTATTTTTAAATTATTTTGTTTTGTGTTTCCCCCCCCCCTCATTTTCTGTGTGAGAACTGTATATTGGGACTTTGTCATGTATTTTGCAAATATTTTTTCTCATTATTATTGTTATTTTATCTTTTGACATTTTTAGTGATGTATTTTCCCCTACATAATTTTTAACTTGTTAATGTTATCTTTAGCTATATACAAAACTTTTTGTGTGATTAATTTCTGTCAAGTTTTTCCTTTATGGCTTCTGGGTTTATTATCTTGCTAATTTTTCTTCTAAAGCAGGCTCTTTTATTGTTCTGAATATTATAGTAAAGTCCCTGATAGCAATGATAATTAGTAGAGGTTAATAAGTTAAAGAAAAACATTGGCTTTTATTTTAAATTTTAAGTAAAATACTAATGATCTTTTTAGTCTTTTTTCTGAACCACAGTAAATTTATCAGATTCCCCTTTATGCTTATAATAGTTCTACGGTAGTCTGCACTTTTTAGAAGGAAAACTTGTTTGTATCATTTCCTCTGCAATGGAGAGAGATTTTGGCCTTTTCAGATATTTTCAAATTTCTTCTTTAGTGAGATGGTTTGAATTTAAAATGTAATTTAAAAAAAAGATGTGCTTTGATCTTTTACATTATCTTCACTTAAGAATGAAAATAACATTTTTATTTTCAAATGGCTGGGTAGGTCAGTTGACTAGAGTGACGTCCCCATAGGCCAAGGTTATGGAGTTTGAATGCCTGGCAAGGCACATCCGAGAAGCAACAAATGAATGCATAAATGAGTGGAACAAGAAATTGATGTTTTTCTCTCTTTCTTATTCTTTCTTTCTTTCTCTTCCCTCTCCCCCTTCCTCTCTCTCTAAATTCAATAAATAACAACAAAAAAAAATGAAAATACCTTATAGAATTCATTATTCCCTATCTGAGAAAAAAGTAGGCTCTTATAAATCTTTTTTTTTCAATGTTCAACACATTACTGGCATGTTGGTGAAAGAACACCTCCCCTTCTTTTACCTAATAAAGAAGAAATTAACCCAAATCCCACCTCCTGGCTTTAATGATAAAATTCAGGAAGAGGTGAATAAGAATCAAAAGCAGGAAAGATTATTTATGCCTGGAGACTTTTGGGAAGTCTTTAAGGTCTAGCTTAATCTCATTTCTTTTACAGAGCCGGGATTTAAATGGCCTAGTATTTTCTTTATCTATAGATTGTGTAGACTTGATGTTTATAAGCAGTAGTGAAAAAAACCATGGACCCGAGCTTGTATGTCTTCCCCTCGCCATTTCAGCTCTACTATAGACTTGTAGCTCAGGGGTGGGGAATGTCTGGCCCACGGGCCGTATCAGACCCGTGAAATCAGTTAGGGGTGAGCTAATTAAATGTTTGACCAAGTAGCAGACTAGTTTTTAAGTTGATGATTTTGGATGGCCTGCAAATGATGTTACAAATATCCAAATGGCGCTTGACAGAAAAAAGGTTCCCCACCTCTGTTGTAGCTGCTCGGGGGAGACAGGGTTAGACTCCCCAAGCATAGATGTTTTCCCTCTCAGTGAAAGAGAACACATGTCCCCTCCTCCTTTTAGCCCTGGCACAGGAGCAGCAAGGATCAGGGCAGGCCTAGGAAGCAGGCTTGGCGGGTTTACAGCTGATGCAAGGAGTTTGAGTCTATAGAGTTGAAAGTGATGGGCAGGGTGTAGGGATCCAGGAGGGAGGGATAAATAAGGTGGACAGCAAATTAGAGTTTGGCCAAGAAACATAATTCAGACCTTGAAAAACAAAAACTGGACAACTGGGGATTTCAGCATTGAAAGTCATGTTTGTGTTGACCTGTAATCCCATGTTTCTCCTACCTTCAAGTGCACATTTTAACATCTACAAAGTCAGGCTGCCTTTTAAAATTAATGATGTGCCATAATTTAATTGGCCACATCTTTTTCTTGGTGGTACGGATGGAACTGTGTCATCCCATCCAGGGAGCCTCAGATCTGGTGAAGTGGAATATCTTTTCCTATGGAGCTGTTGGCTTATATAAAAGTTTGTGATCATAGTTCTCAACTGTTCACACGAAGGAGTTGAGTTCTTTATGGCCAAATGCTTTTGGATGGCTGGGTCCATGTTTCTTATTTCACTTCCAGCTTAATGACATTTCAGAGCCTGAACAGTGTAGCGAATGAGCTGCGGCTCAGGCTCACATCAAAGTGCCTTCCGGCCCGCGTGGAGGGCCCGCGTGGAGGACCGGAGCGGGGGTAATTGATGGCGCCCGCCTACCTTTCTGTCAGGATTGTTCAGAGCTTTGAAAATCCGGGTCGTTTCTGTGTAGCGTCAGGATCCCAAAGCATAATTCAAATCATCGGCAGCTTTTTTAGTGTAAGTACTTGAAAACCCATTTCCTGCTGCTGCTTCTGCCACAGCCGTTACCATTCTCCAGGGAGCCCTGGCTGTTGCCTTTGGAATGGGAACTCCACAGTGGTACCACTTCATAGGCTCCACTTCTGTTTTTCTGGAGTATTTTTTCCCCCTGGAACCTGATTTTATCAGCTTTAAGAACAGGACATTAACCACTTACAGTTTAGTTGTGTGCAGTATGGAGTCCACCAGGTTGAAAATGATTTTTGGGTTCCAATGATTTCCTTAGGATTTAATGGCTCACTTTTTAAAAAAATATATTTTATTGATTCTTTACAGAGAGGAAGGGAGAGGGACAGAGTTAGAAACATCGATGAGAGAGAAACATCGATCAGCTGCCTCCTGCACACCCCACACTGGGGATGTGCCCGCAACCAAGATACATGCCCTTGACCGGAATCGAACCTGGGACCTTTCAGTCCGCAGGCCTACGCTCTATCCACTGAGCCAAACCGGTCAGGGCAATGGCTCACTTTTTGTAAAGCATGAACTTTGGGTTTGTGGCATTCAAAGGAGGAAGCCAGTTGCTGGGGGTACTACCTGTGCCACACCGAATACGTCTAATTAGAAAATCGGAGCATGTTCTTAAGATTTTTATGTTTAGGGACATTTCTAATTTATTATTATTTTATTTTTGTGTGTGTGAACAAATGACTTTCTTTAAAAAAAATCTTCATTGTTGAAAGTATTGCACATGTCCTCTTTCATCCCCATTGACCCCTTCTAGCCTGCACCCACCACTCTGCCCCAGGCCTTCACCACACTATTCTCTGTGTCCATGGGTTATGAAGTCTTATTGTTTTAAGTTATATTTTTCAAAACACTGGGAAGGTCTAGTCATCAGTTTATCACATTTTTGCATTTTTTTCCCTGCGAATTGCTGTCATACCGCTATTTTCTGTGAATCACACTTGATTTGTAAGAACTCCCTTTATATTTGGAATACTAACCATTTGTCACGCATGAGTCTTCTTTGTGTGCGGCATCTTCTGTATAGTTCGGTCTGGCGAGAGTTTTGGGACATTTAGAAACCAGACATCTTTCTTGTCCCGCAGGAGGACCATGTCACTAGACTTCGGCAGTGTGGCACTGCAGACACAAAACGAAGATGAAGAGTACGACAACGAAGATTATGAAAGGGAGAAAGAGGTGAGTTGCTCAGAAAAAAAGACTCCAAACCCAATCTTGAACAATTTTATTTCCTCATCAAAATTATGTCCTTTTGTGTCATTTTGAAGGAGTTTATAATCCCCCATGAAACTTGATCAGTACTTGGACTTCTAAGAGGTAGATGAGAGGAATGCTTCCTTTTTTGAGACGAGACTAGAACACAACCTTGAATGATGCCACTAGATAATGGCTAGATTCTCTATGCTGTTTCATTTAGGACAGCGGTTCTCAACCTGTGGGTCGCGACTCCTTTGGGCATCGAACGACCCTTTCACAGGGGTCGCCTAAGACCATTGGAAAACACATATATAATTACATATTGTTCTTGTGATGAATCACTGTGCTTTAATTATGTTCAATTTGTAACAATGAAAGTGGGGGTCACCACAACATGAGGAACTGTATTAAAGGGTCGCGGTATTAGGAAGGTTGAGAACCACTGATTTAGGAGGTAGTGGCTGGTTTTGGAGGCAGAGGCCTAGAATCTAGCTGCTTTGGAACATTGCGTTGACCAAGTGTGGCAAGGTTCTTAGCTTACTTCTTAGTGGAGGCAGACCACATATAAGTAAACAAATGAATGAAGTCATTTGAGTGAGTGATAATTTAGCACTGATAAACGATAGGGGAACAAAATAGGGTTATATAAAGCTACTGGCAGGGAACTGGTGAGGAGGGAATGTTTGAGCTGAGGCTTGACTCATGAGAAGGAGCAGCCTTGCAGAAGCCTGAGGAAGAATATTCCAGGCCAAGACATCAATGAGTGTAAAGCCCAGAAGTCAGAAAGAGACCCTGTGTGTCCACCGAATAGCTGTTGGGATTGTGTGAGCAAGGGCGGAGTGGTGGAGATGGGGCAAAGACGTGGGCTGGGCCAGATCTCAGTATGTCATGGTGAGACGTTTGTAGTTTAATCTAGGAGCAATGGGAAGCCAGTGGAGAATTTTAAGCAAGGAAGTGATATCTGACCATATTTTTGAACGATCTATGTAAATGCTGTGTGGTGAGTAGACTAAAGGAGAAAAGGAGTACGTGGAGGAGATTTTATATATATAGTGTTTAATAGAATTCTTGGCACGTAGTAAATGGTGGCAATAGTAATAGTAGCAGTTGGTGCAAGTCAGTTTACTTGTTAGAATTGTTTTTAGTTTGAGTCAGATTTCTTGACTGACTGGGATAGCAGGTTTCCTTTGCATTGAGTCTATGCTCGATATGACACTTTTCTAAGTGGCCCATTAGTGTTGACAGGAAGCAAGGAATAGGGTCAGTTGCCCTTGGGGTTGGCAGTACAGTTAGGGCAGAGATACAAAACTGCCAGCTCAGTGGGTCTTGTCCTTAGACATGTATTCTTTGGTTGCACGGTATTTTTAAAACATTGAATCTATATTTCAAGATTGGAAATTTTCATATAACAGTTCAGATTTTCTGGTTTGTCTTGAGACGTCCTAGCCCTGGCCACTGCGGCCTGTGTCTGCACCCTGCGCAGGTGGGCGGAGCTGAACGGTAGCTCTCCCTTCCCGCTGGCCACGGTCCCCACCTCTCACACAGACATGGGCTCCGCTCTTGGACCTGCCAGCTTCGCTCTTATAAATCCTCCGCCAGGTCTCTGAGGGACTAGGCTTTGTGACCCTGGTCAGGGTGTTTGGATTTTGACAGGGTCCTTCACAGCAGTGTGGCAAGGACAGGGATGCGGATTTGCTGTTGCTTTGTGAACTCACAGCATGAGGTTTTCATGACCCCAAAGGCTTTGCATAGTTTGCTGGGATTTAGCTACTGGGATTCTTGAGAGGATCGTTTAAGTAATTACTATAGTCGACTTTAGAGAAGAGGAAAAAATGTACTGACAGGTGATTTTTCATTGGAAAAGATAGTAGTAGAGAGATGGATAGGGTATTGGAGGGAACTTATTGCCAAATGTATTGTGTGGTGAAAGTTTTAAAGGGGTATGAGTTAAGGAATCAATTAGTTCTAGATAATAGACAAAAATAGCCATTAGGATAGCTTCTTTTTTTTAAAAAAAATATGTCTTTATTGATTTTAGAGAGAGGAAGGGAGAGGGAGAAAGAGAAACATTGATGGGCTGCCTCCTGCATGCCCCCTACTGGGGCCCACAATCAGGGCATGTGCCCTGACTGGGAATCTAACCCTGACCTCTTGGTGCATGGGACGATGCCAACCAACTGAGCCACACCTGCTAGGGCGGAACCATTTCGTGACAGATTATGTGCTGGGGTAGGGAATTTCCAGAGGCAAAGAAGCTCTTTCGAGGTAAAGTATCTGAGAATGAGTATTTCTAGCAGAGTGGAAGAATATAACATATAGATTATGTGACTCTGGTATGATGATTATGCTCCGTGTTAATAAAAAGTGGTTCATGTTAATAAAAAAGTGGTTTTACCTTTTTTTAAAAAATTGCTTCAAGGTAAGACGTACAATGGATAAGGTTTCCATTGTATAGAGATTTTAAGATTTTCAGCAACAAAATTCAGAATTATTCATAAAAATCCAGCTGTATGTATATTTTGTCACTGCTAGTTAAAAGGAGAAGTTGACTGCTCAGACCTAAGTTGCTTGCATACCCAAAAGCCTTTTCAAATCTCCTCACTCCCTGACCCTGTGGTAGCTGGACAGTTAGATGTTAGCTGTGGTCTTTTCTTGCCTGCCTGGTGGGTAGTTGTGGGATTGCTGGCTGGATTATGAGTGTTAGCAGCGGGCTAATGCAAATGCCTTTCTCTACCTAGTGAATCCCTTTGTATTCAGTTCACTTATGTGGGAGGAAAGCCTGTGTCGGCGAGGATGTGCTGTAGGGCTGGCCAAGCAGGCCATGTCTGACTCAGAGGCCACCTTGCTAAGGCTTTTGAGATCCTCTCTTGGCGGAATAATCCTGGTTTTGGTCAGTTGCTAATACAAGATGCTTTACCAAGTTTAGTTTTAATTTTGGAGCTTTGGGGTCAGTTGGGATTTTGTCCACACTTTCCCATAAGTCCCTAAATAAACCAGAGTCAAATTCCATCCTCCGTGCCCTTCTAATTAGCAGCTCTACGATCATTGTCTTGCCTTTTTCATTTCTTTTTTTTTTTTTTTAAATTTATTGATTTTTTACAGAGAGGAAGGGAGAGGGATAGAGAGTTAGAAACATCGATGAGAGAGAAACATCGATCAGCTGCCTCCTGCACGCCTCCTGCTGGGGATGTGCTCGCAACCCAGGTACACGCCCTTTACTGGAATCGAACCTGGGACCCTTCAGTCCGCAGGCCGACGCTCTATCCGCTGAGCCAAACTGGTCAGGGAAGCCTTTTCCATTTCTATTCCCTCCATTGTTTGCTTTGAAGAGCAAATGGAGAAAATGCATTTAATCTTCAGAAAAACAAAGGATTTAGTGAAGTGATTTAATATTCAGAGAACACTTAGACCAATGGAATCTCAAGTCACAGCCCACCATGAATAGACCCATTTTTTTTTTTTTTTAAGATCCAAGAATTTTGCAGAAAATAGGCAGTATTATCATTTCTAAATCGTTACATTCTAACTGGTATATTGGTAAACGTTTGGCTACTGTGGGCCAAGACATAGCAGATAAGTGCATAACCCACAGCCTCACCCAGTGTTTCACCTGAAACTCCATCTCCTACGTAGTAAACAGAACAGATTAGGGTGCAGGTGAGTGAGGGCGATGATACCATGGAGACATGGTGTTATTCCAGTCAATAGTCATATCACTCACATTCCTTACAACTTATTGGAGCTCATTGCTTTCTTGCTGTACCATTTGAGAACTACTGATATAGTTCTCTTTCTTGCTACTAAGTAGACCTCATCCAAAACATTTTAGATGAAATTTTACTGGAAAAGCTGGCCCAGAGAAGAGGAATTGAAAAGTTCTTTCATTAACTCATTCTTTTTTTTTTTTTTAATATGTTTTTATTGATTTCTGAAAGGAAGAGAGAGGGAGAGATAGAAACATCAATGATGAGAGAGAATCATTGATTGGCTGCCTCCTGCACACCCCACACTGGGGATCGAGCCCGCAACCAGGCATGTGCCTTTGACTGGAATTGAACCCAGTTCCCTTCAGTCCCCAGGACAACACTATCCCCTGGGCCAAACCAGCCCGGGCCATTAACTCATTCTTTTTTTTTTTTTTTTTCCTTTGTGGCTTAAGAGAACAGAAATTTATTGCATCACAGTCCTATATCAAGGTATCAGAAGGGCCACCACCCTCGGAGACTCTGGGTAGAATTCTTTCTTCCTTGCATCTTCCTTCTCCTCTCCTGTGAATCTATTGTAGGTTTTTTGCTGTGTGGTTACTGGAGCTTATATAAAACTTCATCTAGATATAAAAGTCCATTTTACACTAACTACAACTTTGATTTTATACAATAACTTCCCTTTATTCCCTCCCCTTTAAGTTTTTTTTTCTTCTGGAAATACACAGACATTTTTAATGGAAGCAAAATGGGGCAACGGCGTCACAGCCAACAGGGATTGAACTCAGGCAAGGCAGGGCCGGTGCTGTCCCCGGGTCATGGAAGCCACAGCAGCCTGGTGGCACGGAGCAGGGGAGAGGGAGGTCCTGGCCATGGGGGGCCTGCGAGGAGCCCAGGCTGCCAGCTTCATCCCTGGGGAGGAGCAGAGGCTCTGGCCCAGCTGGTTCTGCGAAAACTTCAAGGGTGGGCACCTGGCGGCTCCGAGTGGCTCCTCAGCTTACACGAGTATTTAATCATAGCCTGCGAGCTGGAGGTGGGCTGGGTGCGGGCTGGAGGTGGGCCGGGTGTGAGCTTTTCAGGGAAGTCTTTAACTTGGCTCTTAGGTTAGAATGGAGATTCTGCTTAGTGCGTATCCATAAAAGTATTATTTAATAATTCATCTTCTAAAAGATCAGAATCTTTACAGCCAACCAATGAAGTAACCTGTTCACAAGGCACACAATCAGTTAGATTGTCATTTTGGTTCTCCCCAAATGACAGTTTGCTAGTATACAGGTA